CAAGACGAGGAAACAACCACTGTGCCAACCCATTAATATAAAAGTTCTCTGCAGCATTTTAAATGTGTGCTTTAAGAATAGATTTGATGTTTTTACGGGAGTTTACTGTTCATCAATTCAATGTTTCGCTGTCTGCAACAGTTTATAAGCAGTGAAGTGTCACATTAATGTGCTGAAGTGTTGTGCAGTCAACAGTCAATTCAGTTTAAAAGCCACTTATACATGTACTAGACATCACATACATGTACATGTAAAGTGCCCTACATGTGAGCTGAGTCACTGTGCATGTGAGTTCCTTGGAAGTCCTGAGATTATGAAAAGGGAGTCAATAGAAAAGGACACAAATGGCTTGATGTTCACATCATTTATGAGATTTAATGTGAGGTGCATTTAAATGAAGTGTGGGCATCATTGACTGGGTTGACTGATCGTTACATATACTGTGCATGTACATAAATGTTCCTACATTTATCAACCTACAATGTAGTCTGAGTACCAGTAACTTGCACCCTACGAATTGTCATTTTTAACATTTGGACATGGTCAGGCCTTTCTGTTGCCCGACTACATGTATGTCCAACTGTTTAAAAAGGCAATCTGTTGGGTCCAAGTTCAAGCAAACTGCCATCAGCCCATCAGTAAAGTTCCACTGCAGAGGATCAATGGCATCTTGTAAGGCATTTAATGGAACAGTGATGCACGAACAGACGTATGAGCACCGAGCGTGACACCATGTACAAGTTAGTACATGTACATGTACAAATACATGCAGCAAGACAGGATGGATGCAGCATAATGCAGTACTGAGGAGCAGCACGCACAGTACACATGCGTACATTCATGCAGTTGTACGGAGTCTTGGGGAAGAGGCTTATCTTAGAGAGCTCAGTGTGAATACTCCAGTGCACCTGTGTCCACTGACGGTTTGTGTGTGTTGGTGTAGTGGCCAGTATGTATGTGTCAAGGGTTGCAATATACATGTACATGTATGTGTGACTACTTGTATACATGTACGTGTACAGTTTTCTGGGTTGGTCTACGTCCAGGTGAGCTGACTTGTAACGTTTTTTGTTCATTTTTGGCTGTTTACATGTACGGTTTCACAAGTCGGGAACACTGTCTCTCTGCGATGGGAAGGCCTTCACAGGGTTAGGGGACAATTTCTTTTGTTTGGACAGGCGGGACCAAGTCATGGGGACAAAAATTCATAATAATATCTGTGGTCCCCATCACATTTTTATGTCAACATGGGTTGTCCCGACAACTGTGGAACATATATATGCATGTGTATGGAGTGCATTCTTACACTGGTTTCATACATGTACATGTATCAGTACATGTATCTTTCTGTATAGAAGTTTTGTGATAATGGCTACGGCCACGACCCATAGAGTTGTGTATAAACATTTCTAAAACCACAGCCAAGTAATTCGGATATGGCTTAATGCTGTCAAGTAGCAGGCCCTAGTAATGTACATGTATAGTAAATGTACTGTACATGTAGCAGCCAATGACAGGAAAGAATGGACTTACTGTATGTTGTGCACAGTGGGGGAGTATGTACATTTTTACATGTGCGTGTACGCTGTACGTCTACATGTGCACAGTACCTGTGATTTGGGGGTAGAGAGCAGGCCAGTCTTGTTGTCTTTGGGCCTGTTTGTTTCATATGCATCCAGATCTTGATCAGTGATCCCAAGGCTGGTTCGCTTTATCCATTAGGTGTCGGTGAGTTCTGGTTTCAGTGAACCAATGTTGGATCACTCATCGCGATCCAAAACCTGCTTCAAACATGCAGGCCCTTTGCAGTCCTTATGCTGCATCAGTATTTTGCAAAGCCGCGTATGGACAACCTCTGCATCCCAGGCCCTGCACACTGTCACAGAAAGGTGTAGATTTTTTGTGGAAGGTGATCCTGTAGTCATTGTTCTGCATATTTGGGTTTATTAACCCAACAGTCTAGCATTTAGAATTTAGAGTCAGGCGAGTCAGTAATGAACTTGAATGGAACAGGATTACTGTTTTTGGATAACAGTAATCAGATAACAGTAAAAGTAAGTACATGTTGGGTAAAATGCAAAAAGGGAAAATCATTAGGCCTAGTTCTTGGAGTGCATAACTTTAATAAAAGTGTCCTTGTGAATGAGGGATACATGTACATGTACGTGTACATGTTGTACATGTACCGGTACATGTACATGTATATAGTGTAATACCCTAACCCTCTAACCACTTACAGATCTTTCGAAATCCACCAGAAGTTTTTTTTTTCTGTTTTTGCTTTTGACATCGGCTCCAGCCATGTTCCGCTGACACAGATCCACGTCTGCATGTTGCTGAAGGGCTAGCCAATACACTCTCCATCGTAGAAGATGGCTATACATTTTTAATGCTGATGAAGGACGTACAGGATGTACACACGGATTCATGATGCTAAAACTGATACTGTGTTATTACCGTGCTCATTGGGCTTGCTAATTATTCACAATTTTCCTCTTGAATGCTGCATGATATTTATAAATAGCCCTGGCTACATGGGTAGGTGCATTTACACGTAAACCCGGGTAACTTTTTAAGTTGCACAGACTGCACATTAGGTTTGATATTGGGTAAGCTTTGTATGACGTGTACTTGAGATTTTTGGAAAGCAGCAGTATATGTATGTACAGGGACATGCAGCTCTCTCTCCCATCCATTTTTCTCTGTTGTTTTTGTTTTTTCATGTTACAAGTACATGTAGGATTGTTGGGTGCAACCTGTACATTTTGCGCCTGTTACATGTACACTGTACATTTTTTAGCACTTGTTCATTCAAATAAAATCTCTTTGAAGAAATTGATCAGAACAAACCTCATTGGTGGGCTACTTTAAAGCTGCTGTGAGTGTAAAGTGGATTGCTGTGTGTTGGAAAAAGTGACTTTGCAGTGTAAGGCAGAGTTGGAAATTGAAGCGTGGAGACAGTTTTTTTTCTCATAAATATTCTACATACAGTAGGCTGTACTTGAAGATGTGACTTGTTTAACAAAGGAAGGTGCTGATTGGTTGGTCTAATGCCAGTGATGTTGCTTGTTTGTTGAGTGTGTTCGATTGTAGGTTTAAGTTTCCGGAGGTGCCGGCCAACCCTTGGGGAAAACATTTAAATAATTAAGTGCTGAAGCAGTCGAACATCGCTGAAGTACGGTACATGTACAGTATAACAGTACGTACATGTACATGTACTTGAAGAGGTGTACACATCTTGGCTTCATCTTAAGGTTAGCTTTATCGATCAAACTGGGGTTAAGCAAAGAGACGGTCTTTTTAGTTTCAAGTTCTTAAGACGGACAAAGCACACTGCTTGAACTTTTGAGTTATGCAGCCAGCCACTTCTTGTCAGAATCTAGCCTTCAGTCAAGGCGCCCGTGGCGCCCCAGATGCTAGAATGGTGGTAACACAAAACCGTGGCACCCCAGTCATATAGTACAGGGGTAACATGAAAAAGACCAGTGCAAATGGCACACTTGCACTGATGTTGTTGTCGTTACCAGCTGAGCGTCCAGGGTGCTGCACGAGCCTCGACTAAAGGCCAGTCAGAATCACGCTTTGAAGAGGTGCATACATGTACATGTAGTGTATCTGTACATGTACATATGTATACACCATAAACTGTGAAAATGCTGGTCTTCGTCAGTGCAGATTTTGTAGAATTTTGACTCATGTTTTTTTGCCGGAAATTGCATGTCTCTTTCAATCAAAAGATTCACAGAGAAATGCCTATATCATGGAAGGTCATTAAGGCTATGGCTTGGTGTCTGCATTAAATGGAATTTTATTAATTCTATACATGTGAGAGAAAAAGGAAGATTTTTTCCTAATTTCGACCAACAAACGAAGCATTATCGTGAAGCCAGGCTGTGTCATCAAGCATTACGCCAAGATTTCATCTGCTTGCTTCAGGGACTGCAGCACACCGTAGTGGCTCATCTCATGTTTGTATGACGTCCCCAGGCAGCCAGGCACCGAATGCCGGCCTCCAAAATAAAGCTCTGAGCAAGCAGCTTCACTGACTAATTTGCCATTAGCAAAAGACAATATCCTGGCATCTACTCGCCCCTGTACACACGTGTACTCTAGCTCTTATTGATGACTAAAAGTCAGCCACCGAAGGCTCGCTCTGCAATCTGTCTCCTTGCTCTGGGCGGCCTCAGATGAAGGAGTGACTTTGTCTGTCCTGGTTAACGTAAAGAATGTAATTTCTGCCGCATTTGTTGTTCGCTTTCTTTTTCTGGCAAGGTGCATCATACATTTACCTGTGTGTATGCAGGAGAGTTTTGTTCGTTTTATCTGACATCAGTGTTTGCACATGTACATGTACATTTAGCATGTTAGGACAGGAGGTTGCCGGTTGGAAGAAGGTTGTCTGTGATGACAGGAACCCACCACAAAGAACAAATCTTCAGGATATTTGCTCAGTTAGCTACAGGTAGAGGGAACATGCCCAGGTCTCTATTTTTCACGATATCATTGCTGTTCACTTTGACATGTAATAAATGTTGCCAAATCAAATTGGCACAATGCTGCCATTCAAGTGCAGGAACAATTACAGGTATTCATCTTGATTGGTTTCCTGCACACTTTATTGCATCCTGGCTCTTTCCTTCCTGGCGGTTGTCAGTGATGAATTTGGCCCAAAAGTGATGATTTATTGTATACATGTACATGCATATATATGTGCAGTGCCCCTGCCAATGCTGCCCTTGACGCTGAACGTTGAAATTCTGTTCATTCCAATTTAAATTATAGTGTGCATGAAAAAATCATGCATACGTGTACGCATGATTTGACTTGGCAGTGTTCTATATTAATGACAATGTGTAATTATGTTTTGACACGAACATGCTTAATTTTCATTTCTGTTTTTGAAGACATATTTACATGTACTCCCTACACGAAAGTCATTTCATCTTTCAAAAATGTGACCTTTGCAACATGTAAGTTTATTTACACTGCTTTTTTGAAAGGTGTGGCCATTTTGTCTGAGTCGGGAGCTGGGAAGAGTCTGGCCGACATGAACCCAATTTGGAGGGTCACCATGGAGATGAGTAAGTCGCGCTCAGAGAACCAGAAGCTGAGCAAGAAGCGACGAGAGATGCTTCGGGAGAAGACCAGGAGGGAGAAGGAGGAGAGGAGATTGGTACGTGTAAATGACTTCATGAATTGCTTCTATGTGACCTACATGTACAGTACATGTACCCATGTATGCACAGTGCAGTCTGTGTGATATACATGTACATGTAGCTGCTAGCATGCTACACACAAGCATCTGTGAAATATGAGCATATTTCACTGATAAATTATGCAAGAAATCTCCTCTGGACTTCTTAATCTTGACCAATCGGCCTTTGGCAAACTTGATGCTGTCCTGTGCATGCTGTTCGTGGAGTTTATTTCGCATGTACATGTATTTGCATGTATCCCAGGTCCAAAACCCTCATAGATGCTTTCTATGGAGACCAGCTAAGCCTCTTCAGCTGATAAGGTCAACTAACATAGTATGGTCATCTGATTAACCAATCTACAGCCTTTATAGCAGATTTTTTTCTCGAAATTATATCACAGTTGCTGAAGCTGACTTTTTGGCTAGTGTGTGGGGTCACATAAAATTAGCATTTTCACATGTATCAGATGCTGTTGGGAGCCACAGGCTTCGTTGAACGGTGGATGACACTCAGACATACACATGTGTTCAGTACATGTATTTTGCCCAACCTACATGTACATGTAACTGCCTCTACATGTATAGTACATATGCATTGTATCTCTTTATACATGTCTGTACGTACATGTACATGTATGGTACTTGTACCTTTTGTTGTTTTATTCATGGCAAATCGTACATTTACATGTACATTGTACGTACAAGGAAAAAAAGTTACAAAAACTTGAAAGGCCAGTTCAAAAATTTATCACACAGATGTAAAAATGCAAATGGTGCAGTCAATTTAGTGTCAGGGAATACTTGCAGCAATCTCTCCCAGAGTTGAAATATTGCAAAGATGCAGCCTGAATGCTTGTTGTGGCAGCATAAATTGGCATCTGGACTGAGCTCGAAACAAGTTTACATTTGAAGGCATGAAAGCTGAAATTTACTTTTTTTGTCATCTCTCTATTGTGCTTCCATAATGCATGTATGATGTTTGTCTACTGCATATTATTTTTGGAATGTTTGCTTTAAATCTTCAATTCCCTCTTCCATCCATTACTGAACAGACACCATATACATGTAAATCAAATTTCCAGAGTGGTTTAATGGACTCAGCACGCTTGCAGGTCCCGCCATTTACATAGAAATGAAAAGAAAACATGAGAGACTTCTACTCATACATGTGAGTGTGCATGTAGTTCATATGCACTTGTCTGCCAACGGGAGAGGCAGCTTACATTTTGGAATAATGGATGAATTGCCGTTTCCTTATGATGAATAAGCAGATCAGTCAAATGATCTGTTAAATTTCCCTCATGGGTGTTGAGGGCACTGCGTATATTGCTGTTATGACAAACTAATAGCAGTGAGCCTCATCATAATGTTTTGCCCGTGTGCATCATGCATGCAGGTACGGTATGAGGGGTACCAGGTATGAGGGGTACCGGGAGGGAGAATCAAGCTGTCATGCAGCCCATGCTGGCAGGTTGAGTAATGATGACATTGAGAAGGCTTTGGGTCACTTCTGAATATTCATCCTGCTCTGTGGGGCCCACAGTGGTGGCATAAAAATTACCATTCCTACTTTGCTGTATGCAGAGTTGAGCAACATGTCCCCCAGCCCATAGTTTCTTGAAGCCTGGATGGCCTGTCTCTTAGTGATGCGTCTCAGATAGGGGGTAGGGGGGGCTGAGCTGCACAGGAAAAAAAAATGCTTCAGAAGAGAGAATAGGACCCCAAAGGGCAGATTACTTAAATTGCTGGTGATGTGAACATAAAGCGTAACCCAACGTTAACGAAATGAATCTCACATAGTGGAAGTCAATACAGTGAACCAGTCCAAACATTCAAAAAGCATAGTCAATCAAAACAAAGATAGCACTGTACCTGAAGCCATACATGGCTGTGCGGGTAGGGCAGACCCTATGGTGCATATTGCTGTTCCCAAATGACCTAAGATGTGCTTCGTTTTGGACATGTGACTACTCATAAATGGATTCATTGATAGAAGCCCTAATTTTTTTTAACTTCTACAGTCCTTTTTCATCAGAATGGCAAAATGTTGTGCAATGAAGAGCCTATTATTGTGCTCTTGCGAATGCAACTTTCAAGTTACTGAAAAAAATATGGCCTTAAGACTCATTTTATGGGATTCAGTCTTAAAGATTACCCATCTTTTCCAGACTACATGCCTGTCTGACGTAAGTACTAGCGTATATAACAAAATGAGACAATCTTTTGTAATTGTTTTTAATCGGGACTCCACCATTTCACTAAATTTGAACATGACCAACTATAATAAACTTACTTTTCTTGATATGTGCACATATGTACATGTACCTGCATTCTGTATTTGCATGTAATGGTGCAGTACAGTGAAGTGCTTGTACACGTATAATGCATCAGTAGCCTCCAGCAGTCAGGAAGGTAATTAAGGCATTGGGCCTCTGCTGACTGAAATTTAATTTCTTGAGTGGTTCAGATAAAGAGAACCTCTCTCTTCTGTGTTGCTCTCTCAAATTATTCCTCAAAAGATCAGCCAAACTCATTATGTTCTTTTTACATGTACCGTATGGTGGTGTTGTTCGGCAGTTAAATTTGTAGATTGCACTCAGTGTCAAGGAGCATTGTGAACTGGTCACCAAGTACTTGAATAGTTGAGCATTCTATCAGTATGGAGCATTACAATTAAGAGGAGGACAAAATAACCGGCATGAAACAACCTGGGGCTTGATCACTTAAGAAACCATCAAGTGTACTCCAACTTCTCTGCTCTGGTATACATTTTCTGTTTAAACCTGTGAGTAATTGTACCTGCTACCCTTTTCTGCCTGCCATAAATGTACATTTTCTGATCAGCAAAAAGCTCCGGTTACATCTAGTCTTTGTTCCAGTCTATAGCAATGTCATTTTAAGGCTTGTTAATCCAGTTGACTAATTACTGTTTATGAGTTAGCCATGCCTCTTGTACATGTATAACCAACCAAATTTTGGAATGTTGACCTTTGTCACATGTTTGCGAGTCCTGCATGCATTTTGTATTATTTTGTATTGGACAATACGTTGCGAGCTTGGCTGACATGATTTACTTGTGTTACTGAGTCACCATATCCTCCCTTGGCATATCAGAACTTTGACTGAAAAAATATCATCAAAGACCTCTCTTGATCCAAAACTACTCATCCTGTTTTACTGGTTTGCTTGGCAGGAGGCAGTTGAGCGAGACAGAGAACGCTTCATCATTGGTCAAGAACAGCATCAGGAGGGGCAGGAAAGATATGAAGAGTTGGAAGACCTTCAAGAGGTTAGTCTACAGGCCTAGGAAAGTGAGGAAGTAATGGAGTGTTTCTCACCAAGATGGCTTTACCTCCAAAAGTCACCTCCAGTTGGGTGGCATTCAGGGTTGAAAAAAAATGGATGTGACCAAACAACGTATCAGACATTTGTTACAATCAGGCTTGATGAGCAGATGATACTCTCACTACACGGTCTGGACATTTTGTCATTGCTGCACGATAGGCAGAATCGTGCTTTGACACTCAGACCGTGAATGTGTTAGCAGCGTTCATGGAAAGCTTGGTACCGGTAGACGAAAGCTACCAGATGCGTTCTTGAAAGAGTCTAATTGGCTGTTGAGTGATGTAAAAGTGCAAAGAACTGGTGTGTTTGAATTGATGACATGTCTGTACTGCTTGCAGAGGGCTAATCTATTCCAGTTTTAAACCTTTTTGTAGAAATGTTTTGAAAATGTTTGAAAATTGGGAACAGTAATGTGTGGGTATTATACAGGTACACGTACACCTACGTAGAGTTTTCAGATGATCTACGGTTGATGCCACAATCACAGCCCTACTATTTTCCTTCTTTTGATCATGTTGATTTCCATGAAAATATCAAACTATGAACATGCACATACACATTTAAATACCTTAACTGATATGGAGTACCATATTTCCAAGGAAATATGTGAAGACCTGTTCTGCGTGCCCTTTAACTCCAAATAGTACGTGTAAGTATAACGGTACAGCACGTACATGTGCTGCTGTTTTCGGAAGAGTTTGGAAAAATCAAACGGTATTTTGGGAAACCCTACATTCACATGAAAATCTTTTAGAAAGTACCATTTGGCATCGCATGCATTAACTTGATGAGAAGTTATAGACCTTTTGTGGGTAGCAAACTTCTACAGTCTTGTCATAAAACGACAATTCCTTTTTAGGTCTCTCCATCAATCAGATTTAGTTGTTTGCTTTTGACAACGGTGTTAGGATTGGAGACCCCCCTTTTCTACTGTACGTTTTATCTTTTAAGCCTTGATGGGCCAGCTTTTAGTGTTAGTTGAAAGCTGTGGTGTTTACCATAGATCTGCTGTACATGTACATGTATGTTGTTTGCATCCAGGCCAAGAGGTACAGTTGTTTGCTTTTAAAGAAAGCATCCCAGTCATGGCTTGGTCAATTGGCAGTGACTGACAACAGTCTTCTTGGATTGGCTGTTCTGTTTGGAAAAGTTTCAGTTACATGTATTTAAGCACTGAAATTAACTACTTCCAGAACACCATATGAAGTATGGTTCATGTAGTTTGGTTTGTTGTCTGTTGATTTCTTAGTGGAGAAAAACTTGAACCACAAGCACAGCCAAAAGAAGGAAGTCTCTCATCTGTAAATATTCAAAGATCCCGAATGAGCCTGTTTCTCTTCTTTTTCTTCCTCCTGTTGTTTGTTTTTTGTCCCTTGTGTAAATAGAAATAACACTAAGTAAACATTGCATGAAGATCCACATGGCTTCCCGTGATGTCATTCGTGCCATATGCAGCACTCCAATGCATTAGCATCAGCCATTTGCCATCATGCCATGGATCATTCCAAACAAGATATCGATCCCTCGTTAGCCTTCAGTCTAATAGACCCCCGTCAGCTATCATGAGCTGTCTGTCTCAAGGTCTTCTTAGCTCCCTTCCCGGCTGTTCTCCAGCATTAAAATTGATAAATAAATGAATTAAAGGGAGATTGTATTGTCCATGCAATTATGAATGCTTTCCCTAAATTCTGCCTGTTAATTTTGGACAAGCACACTCGCCAAGTTTGATGCTCTTGTCATGTCATAATATGGCCTGTTTGGATTTCACAGTTAGACCATCGCTATCTACATGTACATGTTCCAGTACATGTACATGTGTATGTCCAGATGCCCAGGGTTTTCACACTAAGTGCTTGCTTGTACAGAGGAAAGATGATATGTGATATTAAACTGATGTGCGCCGTTGCCTATCCAAACACACTCCACAATCATACCAGCCCAAACAGGGCAGTGCCAGGCACACTACCCCTCTTGTCTAGCACCAGTGAACCCAATCAAATGAAAATTTCACAGATGATTGCCTGAAAAGAAAAATAGCTTCCATGTGTTTGCAATGTGCAAAAAGGTTTTCACCTTTGTTGTTCATGTAAAACATGTGAATGTACTTGTAATCTGCAAATGATACTTTACTGAATGAAGATACACGTTTTAGAGGGGAGAAATGGATGTAAATAGTTAACCTCTAATTTAGCAATTGCATGTTTTCACAGACTCACAGTATTACCTTGTGATGTGTATTTTACGGTACTTTTATAATTTCTGGTGGATTTCCTGCAGAAATCATGTGGTTTGCTGAAATAAAGTGTCTCATGTTTTTAGTACGTACATGTACATGGGGGCGTGCGTACATGTACGTGTGCATTACATGCACAAAGTAGTGGCGTGGGTTCATTGACATCACATCCAGACATCAGGCCCCTCTGGTCCTTCTTACACATACAGTAGTACTCCTGGGAGCTACTGCACCATGCCTGCTGGATGACTTTCTCTCAGTGAAAAAGCAAAATTTATCAGTTGCCTCACAAAGCGCCAGACAGCATCCTGCAGGACATTGCCACTCACGTTGAACTGGAGACAATTGAATTTATTTTATGGTCGTTGGCACGAATGTTGCATGTCCGTGTGCTTGGATGTGAGCAAGCACATGGAGCAAGCAGTGCAAACAACACTATGTACCGGTTCTAGCTAGCTTGAAGGTTTTTCTAAATTGAAAATTCAAAGAGTGGAGCACGTACACCGTGGTTTTTTGTACGCCAGCCCTGAATTTTTCACACCGCTACAACTCTGTTGTGTATTTGTACAGGTACATATGCATGTAACACTAATGGGTAATTCCAGAAATTAGGGGTCCATTGTTTTTCGTGTCCCTGTTACATCTGACATGTAATTTGGAAGCTCAGAACACCTTTTCTAATTTCCAAGAGTGATGAATTAATGCAGATTACCTGCCAAACAAAAAGTAATTCTGGTGATGTTTCCATGTCAAATAACAAAGGTCAGATGTAACAGGAATATGATTGTGTCAGTTTTTCACAGTTTTGGACCCCTAATTTCTGGAGTTACCCTAATAAAAAAAATGGCTGGCCATCACTAGAAAGAGCACCAGACTAGTTCGAGAAGTGTTAAAACATCTCTCTCAGCAGTCAAAACACCAAGTAACAAGCACTGCACCAAATAACAAACACAAAATTCCAAATGAAAATACCAGTACATATTTGACCCTCTTTGAAAATAATGGGACAAATACATTTTTGAGACAAGATCTGACGCCAATCCAGGGTGATACAGCGTCTCTGCAAACTTCGGCTGCCAAGAGGAATAGTAAAACAATATGAGAGTGGTTTTCATCTACATGTATATGAAATTCCCGCATCTAGACCTAGAAATTCAGATTAGACTGTGGATAATACAGCAAGCGGTATGCATGCGAGCATGGCTGTGTCACCTGATACTTGGGGATCAGGCGACAAATCTTTACTCCCAAAATAGCCAAATTTAGCACTGATTTATCAGACAGTTATTCAGGTAGGCTTCCGGCCTGCATCAAGTAGAATAGAAACTAGTCCAAAGATATGTCTGCCCTCCTGCCTCTTTACCATGTTTACAGCTTCAGAAGATGGATCTTGTCTCCATGGCGGGCACTGTTAAAAGTCACCGACCCCCCCTCCTTCCCCTTTTCTACAGTCATTTGAAACTGGATCTGCCCAGCATTCTTTGCTATTTGAGATAACGATACGCCTGGGCTGTTGATACAGCATTCACTCTTCAAATGGAAGCTGATAACGAATCCGGCAAATGAGGAGAGATTTATTTCCCTCAAATGACACAAGGGGCCACAGCGGGCACCATACTTACATTTACATTTGGAGAAATATCCATCATCAAAGCAAGATTTTGAAGATGTTGTACTGGTATATGTACTGTACGCGTATACAGTATACTGTCTTATATTTTGTCTGGATTCCCTCCATATTCATTGACACAAGGTTACATGTAATTCCAGAAATTAGGGGTCCATTTTTTTGTGTGTCCCTGTCACATCTGACATATGAGTTAGTAAGTTCAGAACACATTTCCTTATTTCCAAGAGTGATGAATTGAAGCAGATTACCTGCCAGACAAATACTAATAGTTTGAAATCGATTCCGGTGATATTTCCATGTCAAATCACAAAGGTCAGATGTAACAGGGACACCAAAATGTCACACTTTCGGACCCCTAATTTCTGGAATTACCCACAAATGTACACAAACATACTGTACTTTCTGAAACGGTTCTTTATAAAAAGAAATAGGTTACCCACATGTGCCATGTGGGGTCCAATTTTTTTCCTGTCCCTGTTACATTCGGCGTTTGCTTTAACTTTCAAGAGTGACTAATGCAAATTACCAAACAATGAAAATTGAAGACAGTTTCAATGATATACATGTACATGTTCATGTACAATGTATCCCTTGTCAAACTACATGTGCGCGGGTGAAGTGTCATCCATGTAGGTGTTTTTAAATTTTTTTGCCGGCTTACACTTGCAAAACACAGAGTGCACACCCTTTGACTTTCCTCATGCAGTGTTGCCGACCATCTTTTGAACTCATTCAGTTAAGTACAGGTACTGTTACCTTCATAATTAAGAATTTTCTTTAAAGTTGATAAGTTCTGATGAATCATTATTTCATACACGTCTTCATGTATGTTGGAAAATTTTTACTTATTTCTTGGGTGTATTTTAAAGAGTTCACTTGTGCACTTCGGAAAAAAAAAAGATTGGCAAATCAGGCCAAAATACAATGTCATGGGGACTTTCTTGCAGGGTAGGGTATGTACATGTAAACGCACAATTTATCAATGCTAACGTTGAGAATTTGAGGTACAAAGATTGCTCCGGCGAGGCATTAGAGGCCAAAAATCAAATAAAGTGTGCTACATGTCTTCATTTAGTATGTC